TGGTATAAATCTACATTTGTACATGTAATATTGTTTTGTTATGTTTGTGTCACTTTGACAAATAACGACTCAAGTGCTTGAGGATATGTTGTACAAAGCAATCTTTGTGCTTCGATTATTGTAAGTTTTCAAGTGTGAGTGCATCATCCCAGCACTAGATGGCTTTGTAGAACAGCACCCTGTCTCAAATGCAGCAATTCACTGTGGAGATCTGTGATTGTGGGTTCAAATCCCAGATTCGCACGGTTTTAGGTTCTTGGTCTGTCGTGCATAAACCCTACCCAAGTCATCAGTGACCTTGACCCATGCATACAAATTACCTAAGCCATCAATGATCATGATTTGACCTTGACCCATACATACACCTGTCCAAAGCCATCAATTATAATGTGACCTTGACCAATGCATTCACATCACCTGAGCCATCAGTGCATTCGTCACCACTTGCCCCTTTCCGTAACCTCCAAGAAGACTCGTCCCCTACTCGATACTTGTTATGTGCGAAAATATGACAAACCAATCAGAATGTGCGTAATGGATGCAGTGCTTTGATAAAAATAATCCCGACTACTTAAATCGATTATGGCATTATGTTATTGTTTAAAAAAATCATGAAAAATATATATCGCCTTATTGAAAGTACTAAGAACGTAGCTAACAGAATTGTGCTGTGTAATGTGAAGTTTTTGATAAGAATCATGCGATTGACGGTGAGAGATTAAAATGCAAGCACGTGAGTTTGTTGACATAACGGATCTCATGGGTCCAACTGAGTGTATTTCTTGAGGGCTATTTGTGGTGATTGTACGTGCGCTTCCAACAGTTTTGGGAAATGTAATTATAGATCGCTACGAGTTTCAAAACAATTATATTATATTATATCTGTATGTAACTTATCAACTTTAATCTTTAACATTGGGCTTATATTTCACATCACTGGGGATATTTTAGTCTGACCTTTTTTTTGGTCATTTATATGTTTTTCTGTGATTTCATTTAAAATTCATTGGGGGTGTGACAGCAACGTTATACGAATGTTCAGTTTGAGAAATATTTTAAAGTCATTTTTGAGTACCTGTTAGGGGATTTAATGTAGCTGAAAAGATTATTTTATTTGCATATTCAATAAAAAATATTCCCATTTGTGATTATTAAACCCTATTTAGAAAATTAATATAATTAGAAATATTAGGTGAACAGCTGGTAATAATTACATTAAAATATGTCTTAACAAATATGTTTTTCTTCTTCGTTTAGTTGTATCAAAGAGGTTTCATTCTTTAAAATAAATAAGTAAAAACAGCAATACATTGTACAATGTACAAGTGCTTCGGTGATTTTAATAGAAACATTGAAATCAAACAGTGATAGAGTTATCGTTCTTGTTTAAAGTAGTTCTGATGTTCTGCCAATATGAAATCCTTCCAGAGGGGCACGAGTCGCTATTCGGATTGTCGCGGAATAACACGAGTTGGTCATGAATGCCATCAGTGATCATGATTTGACCTTGACCCATGCATACACATTACCAAAGCCATCAATGATCATTTGACCTTGACCCATACATACACCTGACCAAAGCCATCAATCGTAATGTGACCTTGACCCATGCATACCCATTACCTAAGACGATCATGATTTGACCTTGACCCATGCATACACATTACCCAAGACATACATGATCATGATTTGACCTTGACCCATGCATGCACATTACCTAAGCCATCAATAATCAGGATTTGACCTTGACCCATGCATACACATTACCAAAGCCATCAATGATCATTTGACCTTGACCCATACATATACCAACCAAAGCTATCAATTGTTTTGTGACCTTGACCCATGCATACCCATTACCTAAGACATACATGATCATGATTTGACCTTGACTCATGCATGCACATTACCTAAGACATCCATGATCATGATTTGACCTTGACCCATGCATACACATTACCTAAGCCATCAGGGATAATGATTTGACCTTGACCCATGCATACACATTACCTAAGCCATCAATAATCATGATTTGACTTTGACCCATGCATACACATTACCTAAGACATCCATGATCATGATTTGACCTTGACCCATGCATGCACATTACCTAAGACATCCATGATCATGATTTGACCTTGACCCATGCATACACATTACCTAAGCCATCAGGGATAATGATTTGACCTTGACCCATGCATACACATTACCTAAGCCATCACTAATCATGATTTGACTTTGACCCATGCATACACATTACCTAAGACATCCATGATCATGATTTGACCTTGACCCATGCATACACATTACCTAAGACATCCATGATCATGATTTGACCTTGACCCATGCATACACATTACCTAAGCCATCAGTGATCATGATTTGACCTTGACCCATGCATACCCATTACCTAAGATCAGTAACTTGAGTATGATGTATATATCCGACAATTGCCCAGAAATAAAACAGTGCTGTACTTTACATGATATACCTGTCATTTTGTCCAATCCATAAAGACACACATCAAGACAGCAAAGCTATTTTCAATATGTTTATTGAAAGCTCTCTACATGCATCAAAAGAAAATGCATATACAATATTTGGCCGAGGGTACATCAATAGGAATCACACTGGCAACAAATCTATTAAAAAACTAGATAAATACTTTTGTAAAAACACAGAATCACAGCCAATATAGTAAAAGAGGCACATTTTTAATGTATACAACAAAACGACAGACTATGTGAACTGGTCAAAGCGTACTGAGAATAGGGTTGTTTTGAACATGACATGAAGGAAAAGATCACATCAAAGTTGTGCATTGTACAAGCTAGTAGCTGATCACAGAACAGCTGGTATGTGCAATCTCTAATAGACAACTGGGTGCCAGGAAACATGTTAGGCCCCACCCTTTGTTCCGATATTTTTAACAAAGTCGGATGAGCGAGTGAGATTAGCACCAGAAATGGGCCTCACACATTGTACCCATGTGGGGAATCAAACCCGGGTCTTCAGCTCGACAAGCGAACGGTTTAACCACTAGGCAACGCCACCAACTCAAGTTGGATGAATGTCAGCTGAAAAGCGGTCACATGCATCCACAAGGAAAGGCTAAAGAAGTTTGACTGTTGAACAGGAGACCTCCAATAGTTGTCAACTGAAGTTCAACCTCCAATAGTTATCAACTAAAGCTCACCATTCACTTAGCACACATCTTGAATGGGACATTTTAGTTGGATATGGTCAGGAATGTTGTGATTACTTTTAAAAGTGAGGCTCAAACCAGCTCTGTATGCAGAAATAATGACAAGTTTTGGACCATATTCTACATATAAAGATTGTTTGCATAATATAAAAGGCAACAATATCCCAACGATAAACAACATTCCACAGTAGCACACATATATCTGAGCAAAAACAGTTTTCAGATGCCATTCTGAGATGTCAACAAAATGTCTTCTTGTAAGAATCTCACTGTAAAACAATACATCTTTGTAATTTCATCTTTCAACCTTATTCAACCTTGAGTGAGTGAGTGAGTTTAGTTTTATTCCACTTGTTGCAATATTCCAGCAATATCACAGTAGGGGACACCACAAATGGGCTTCACACATTATACCCATGTGGGGAATCAAACCTGGGTCTTCGGCGTGACGAGCAAACGCTTTAACCACTAGGCTCCCCCACCGCCCCTTTATTCAACCTTGACCTTCGTCCATGTGTCATTACACCTATAGTTAGTTTGCAGTCACTTGAAGTCTTTCTTTTTTTTCAAGTTGATCGCTATTGGATTTGAGAACATAAAACAACCTCTGGCATGAAACTGTTTAGACTGCAATATTTTACTTTTCAATAAAGAAAAAAACAATTTCATAATTGGTACAATAGATATTTCATTTAATATACTGTAGAAACAGAACAAAACTGTAATACTGTTAGTGTAGAAGGCATTAAAAAGTACTATACATAGTTACAATGTCTATATACACACTGAAAATGAACTGGTTCAAACATCAAAAATATTGTCATCTGTTAAAAAACCACATGAAATACCTAATATAATCTGAATGAAGATTTTGATTGTAATTGTGAAATTCATTAACATAACAAAACAATATCTAGTTTTGGAAAACAAAATGATGACTTTGGTAAATCTTCCAAAGTTCCTCTGAAATAGATCACTGAAATCATATCTCTAAACTGAAAATAACAGTAAACAGAAGAATGAAGGAACAAAATTCAGTTTCTGAAATTATTATTAAACTTCATATTTCCAAGTCATTTTAGAACAATAAATAGTAGTACCCTTTGTGTTGCTCAAATATACAAACATACGACTATTTATTTACATCTATGAAACAGTAGCAGTGTTATCAGAAACCCTGTAGTAACAAACACGATGAATTTGTAAAGTCAGTATACATCAGGAAAATATATAGTATACATTTTATACATAAAGACATCAGAACCTTTTCATATATTGCTTCCAATAAATGTAATTCTGTTTCTTGTACGTTCACAATGGATTAGGAATGTAGAAAGACTCAAGAGCAAAAGTAACTGTGATGAGATAAGTGTAAAGAAAAGTGAACATTTAACATGATTATATTTACAACCAAAAACTGTTAACATGATTATATTTACGACCAAAAACTGTTAACATGATTATATTTACAACCAAAAACTGTTAACATGATAATATTTACAACCAAAAACTGTTAACATGATTATATTTACGACCAAAAACTGTTAACATGATTATATTTACAACCAAAAACTGTTGTGTCAAATTTATGGTTGCCTCGAAGGAAAGCTTGGTCCCCTTGTACACTTTCTATATTCATCATTTTTGGTTGTATCAAACCTCAGATAACTCAGAATAGTGAGTGAGTGAGTGAGTTGGGCTTTACGACGCTTTTAGCAATATTCGAGCAATATCACGGTGGGGGACACCAGAAATGGGCTTCACACATTGTACCCATGTGGGGAATCAAACGCTGGTCTTCAGCGTGACGAGTGGACGCTTTAACCACTAGGCTACCCCACCGCCCCATAACTCAAGTAATTACGTAGGTCCCTTCAACTTTGACTTCAGTGTTGGACTGTATACAATTTAGAAGCTGATATGATGAAGATAAACATTTTCTATGGATAGACAACTTCTTAAGAAGTGACTTTTCTGTGTAGATGCTAACATTTGCTATGATAACAGTGTTATCATCTACACCAAAACATCACATCTATTGCAATAAAGAGTTGTCTATCCATAGAAAGTGTTCATCTGCATACAATTTACATATTTATTGACCAATGTGAACAATAAGCCACTTGTCAAGATATAGTATTCCTACTTGATGTGTTTTTGGATGATACAGTTGACTGAAGATAATTACACCAGTTGCCTTAACATACGCCTTAAAGAACACAAAAAAATTAAATTTAAATCTGAAATTTCAAATCAGTTTAATATTGATGAAAACATCTTCAGATAGATTATGGAATCAGTCTGTCAGTTGGATGCTACTACATATTATCTCCACAGAGAGGTGTTTTCAGTTAAAGAACTTGATCATTACTTTTGCTTTTGATTCCTTTGATCTAGTATTGCTGGTGCTTGCTATGTGTGTGTGTTGCCTTATGACTTGAGATAGGCTCTCAGGAAGTCATTGTAGCTGATACAACCTCCTACATTCTTGTCATAGTAGGACATCAGATGGAAGAACTCATCCTCCGACAAATTAACGTTAAACTGGCGAAGGACCCTCCGGAATTCCACAGCATCGACCACACCTGTGGCCCCCTCATCCAGCTTCCTGAACGTCCGCCTCATCTCCTTCCAGTTGTCTGTTACGCAACTGCGGAGCCTCATCATTGCATCGTAGAACCTGTCACTTGTAACGCCTGGCTGGATCTGTGACAAATGGTGGAAAGGTTCTTTCAGTGCTTGAGTGCACCTCGAAATAACTGGTATATTGACATATTAAGTTTTAGGTACTTCTTTTAAGAGAAATTAACTGCAGTCTTTCAGTGAAGCTACCATGACTGTCGATCTTATGCAACATTGGGAGCTGGATGAATGAGTGAATGTTATTTCATGAAGCAGTCAGCAACATTCCAGCTGTGTCATGCCAAGCCTGGGCCGGAGTGAGTGAATGGGTGAGTGAGTTTAGTTTTATCGCGGCACTCAGCAATATTCCAAACTATATGGCGGCAGTCTGTAAATAATCGAGTCTGGACCAGACAATCCAGTGATCAACAGCATGAGCATCGATCTGCATAATTGGGAACCGATGACATGTGTCAACCAAGTCAGCGAGCCTGACCACCAGATCCCGTTAGTCGCCTCTTACGACAAGCATGGGTTACTGAAGATCAATTCTAACCCGGATCTTCACGGGTGCCTGGGCCAGACAAACCAACAGTTAACGTAAGCAACTATCCATGCAATCCATTATTATTACATATCCAATACACATTCGCCACCTCCTAAATATAGTGGTTACTTGGGACCTACAGTTTACACATTGTGGCCATTCAATACACATTCGTCACCTCCTAAATGTAGTGGTTACTTGGGACCTACAGTTTACACATTGTGGCCATCCAATACACATTCTTCACCTCCTAAATGTAGTGGTTACTTGGGACCAGTTTACAGTTTACACATTGTGGCAATCCAATACATTGTGGCCATCCAATACACATTCTTCACCTCCTAAATGTAGTGGTTACTTGGGACCTACAGTTTACACATTGTTACCATCCAATACACATTTATCATCTCCTAAATGTACTGGTTACTTGGGACCTACAGTTTACACATTGTGGCCATCCAATACACATTCTTCACCTCCTAAATGTAGTGGTTACTTGGGACCTACAGTTTACACATTGTTACCATCCAATACACATTCATCATCTCCTAAATGTAGTGGTTACTTGGGACCTACAGTTTACACTTTGTTGCCATCCAATACACATTCATCACCTCCTAAATGTAGTGGTTACTTGGGACCTACAGTTCACACACTGCAACCATAAAATCCTCATTAGTTACCTACATGTACTGGGGACCTACAGTTCACACATTGTGGCCATCCAATACACATCCATCACCTCCAATAGTAATCTCTGACATGCATGGGGTACTGGGGTCCACAGTACACCCAAAGTAACCACCCAATACTCAATAGTGATCTCTGACATGTATGGAGTACTGGGGTCCACCGTACACCCAAAGTAACCACCCAATACTCAATAGTGATCTCTGACATGTATGGAGTACTGGGGTCCACAGTACACCCAATGTAACCAACCAATACTCAATAGTGATCTCTGACATGTATGGAGTACTGGGGTCCACAGTACACCCAACGTAACCACCCAATACTCAATAGTGATCTCTGACATGTATGGAGTACTGGGGTCCACAGTACACCCAATGTAACCACCCAATACCCATTACTCTACCCAGGAACCCTGCAGGGCACAGACACACATGCTACAGAAACACAACTGCCCATATGCAAGACCATGAGAGCTACATACTGTCATCTTCGGGGGGTGAATCTTCTGCCGTGACAGAAGACTGGAGTTTTCTCTCTGCTTGAGATTCAACAGGAAGTGTCGCAGAAACTCTGCATAGGAGAATGTGCCGTTTTCCTGAAGGTCAAACTTGGTGACAATCCTGCGGAAGTCTTCTGGTGGCATTTGTACGCCGAAAGCACTCATGATGTCTGGAAACAAAAGTTGGAGTTGTATTACAGTGGCTTATCAAGCAAGGGTTATGTTATCTGGTATATGTGAGATGAAGAATTATGTCAAATGGATTTCCTTTAAACTTTATATCACTGTTACGCCAGACCAATTTTATTTATTGTTTTACGGATCCACCGGTCATACAGTTTTTAAGAATAAGGAAAAAAAAAAAAAATTATTTTTCCCTGCTCAAAAAATAAAATGATCATGTTTTTATTGGCCAAAAATGTAAACTTACAAAAAAATTGTTTGATTGTTTTTGCCCCATATTCAATTCATAAATTGGCTTTTAGTAAAAATAAAGTACTTTTGACTGGTGATTTTATTTAGGTTTTCTGAGGACAAAATCCATAAAACAAGAAATATAACTGGTCTGGCCTTACAAGTTTCATCTTATTAAGTCATAAAAGGCCAGTGGATTGTGTCGTCAAGCCAATCATACCACGGTAACATGGTTTGTTCCTTACAATATCAATCACTGGATTGTCTAATCAACAGGCCGCCATTATAGAGTTATTCAAGACACAAACTTTGTATAACTGAAATGTAATTAAGATTTGTTCCAACCTCTGAAGTCATAGATGTCAATGGTGCCAGTATTGGCAGGATCATAATGGCGACACTGGCGCTGGATCTCCTTCCAGTTACGGAAGATGACCTCCTTGAGGCGCCGTTCTGCCATGTCAGCATTAACAAGTGGTGTGGACATGCGTGACATGGAGCGTGACATGGCGAGTGACTGCATGGTGGCGGGACGTTGTTCTTCTAGCTGTTGAAAAATACACAGATCCGTCAGATTAGGAGTACTTACATCGATTAAAAAATTCAGTTCTAATTTCAAAATATGCATTTTATAAAAGTAACATAGTTTTGCAACAATGTCCATTTTCACTTTAAAAAACAAAGTGACACAACAAAAAACATCAACTATTTCCGAATCCAGGGAAGATTAAGGAATCATTACCCCTGTTCATTTCCAATATGTCTGTCCACTTAACAAAGTTAGCACATTTACCACTGGTCACCAGAAGCTACCAGCTACTCTCCCAAAAAGATTCTAAAAGAACAAAGATCTTGTAACCATGGAAACGTATGAAGAACTATGTCACTCTCAGTGTCAGTCAGTAAGGCATTGGTATCAGATCTCAGTCAAGAAGTTTGTTCTTCAAAACACACACCCTAGATGGCGCCCTTGTTGATGCCGACGTTTGTGGTCGGTTTCCAAATATAGCTTGTGATGGGTTTGCTTCAGGTGGCGGTACCATCTCATTGGCTGGTTGAGACATGGGAGGAGCATCACCACTGCCAGAGAACTGCTGCAGGAATTCCTTGTAATCTATATTGCCGAAGTCGTTGACCGGCAGAGAACTCCAGAGCTTCTCAAACTACAAGCAAAATCATGTCGAATAGTATGTAGGTGAAGCTGTCTGAAAACATTAATGACAGATCTTTCAAATAAATACAAGAAGAATTGATTTTGTGTGCATTTTAAATTTAATTAAAATTAAGAGTATGAAATTTATACCATTAGTTTTTCAATTTTATAAAAAAAATTCAGACACCATTATCTAAAAAAATGTATGTTTAATGTTATTACAAAAGTTAGATATGATAAACATTTTAAGTACAGTATATCTTTCTAAATAAAGGTTCTGTAACCAATAACACTGTCATGATTCACATGTACATATGTTTCCTTCTATTCAAGTGTATTGATATCCACCATTAACATACAGCATATAGAAGTCCATGGTAGTCATATGTCCATATAATATCCAACAATGGTATCTGGATGAATTTTAATCATCTGGTATATATTCCCATCCACTTCAGCTGATATTTTCCTAACATCACCTTAATGTCTGATTTGATGCAATATGTACAATGGCAACACAAAGAGAAACATCTCATGTTTCATACTCTTGGTTACCATGGTTTCACTGAAAGTATTACTATTTCCATCTCAGTTCCTCTGTTAGCAGGGCAGTGGGGTAGCCTAGTGGTTAAAGCGTCCACTCATGACGCTGAAGACCCGGGTTCAATTCCCACGTGGGTACAATGTGTAAAGCTCATTTCTGGTGTCTCACACCGTGATATTGCTGGAATATTGCTAAAAGCAGTGTAATACTACACTCACTCACTCATCTGTTTGCCTCAAGATGTGATTCTGTAGGTTACCATGGTCACACGATTATATTGCTACCTCCCTTCAACACACCTGATCATCTGTGAGCCGGAACACATGTTTCTGTAGGTTACCATGGTCACACGATTATATTGCTACCTCCCTTCAACACACCTGATCATCTGTGAGCCGGAACACATGTTTCTGTAGGTTACCATGGTCACACGATTATATTGCTACCTCCCTTCAACACACCTGATCATCTGTGAGCGGAACACGTGTTTCTGTAGGTTACCATGGTCACACGATTATATTGCTACCTCCCTTCAACACACCTGATCATCTGTGAGCCGGAACACATGTTTCTGTAGGTTACCATGGTCACACGATTATATTGCTACCTCCCTTCAACACACCTGATCATCTGTGAGCCGGAACACATGTTTCTGTAGGTTACCATGGTCACACGATTATATTGCTACCTCCCTTCAACACACCTGATCATCTGTGAGCCAGGAACACATGTTTCTGTAGGTTACCATGGTCACACGATTATATTGCTACCTCCCTTCAACACACCTGATCATCTGTGAGCCGGAACACATGTTTCTGTAGGTTACCATGGTCCATGGTCTACCTCCCTTCAACGATTATCATCTGTGCTACTTCTCCCTTCATGGTCACACGATTATATTGCTACCTCCCTTCAACACATCATCTGTGAGCTAGGTTACCGGAACACATGTTTCTGTAGGTTACCATGGTCACCGCGATTATATTGCTACCTCCCTTCAACACACCTGATCATCTGTGAGCGGAACACATGTTTCTGTAGGTTACCATGGTCACACGATTATATTGCTACCTCCCTTCAACACACCTGATCATCTGTGAGCCGGAACACATGTTTCTGTAGGTTACCATGGTCACACGATTATATTGCTACCTCCCTTCAACACACCTGATCATCTGTGAGCCGGAACACATGTTTCTGTAGGTTACCATGGTCACACGATTATATTGCTACCTCCCTTCAACACACACCTGATCATCTGTGAGCCGGAACACATGTTTCTGTAGGTTACCATGGTCACACGATTATATTGCTACCTCCCTTCAACACACCTGATCATCTGTGAGCCGGAACACATGTTTCTGTTACCATGGTCACACGATTATATTGCTACCTCCCTTCAACACACCTGATCATCATGAACACATGTTTCTGTAGGTTACCATGGTCACATCGATTATATTGCTACCTCCCTTCAACACACCTGATCATCTGTGAGCCGGAACACATGTTTCTGTAGGTTACCATGGTCACCACGGAATTATATTATTTGCTACCTCCCCTTCAACACCTGATCATCTGTGAGCCGGACATGTTTCTGTAGGTTGTTGGTCACCGATTATATTGCTCCCTTCAACACACCTGATCATCTGTGAGCCGGAACACATGTTTCTGTAGGTTACCATGGTCACACGATTATATTGCTACCTCCCTTCAACACACCTGATCATCTGTGAGCCGGAACACATGTTTCTGTAGGTTACCATGGTCACACGATTATATTGCTACCTCCCTTCAACACACCTGATCATCTGTGAGGCCGGAACACATGTTTCTGTAGGTTACCATGGTCACACGATTATATTGCTACCTCCCTTCAACACACCTGATCATCTGTGAGCCGGAACACATGTTTCTGTAGGTTACCATGGTCACACGATTATATTGCTACCTCCCTTCAACACACCTGATCATCTGTGAGCCGGAACACATGTTTCTGTAGGTTACCATGGTCACACGATTATATTACTACCTCCCTTCAACACACCTGATCATCTGTGACCCGGAACACATGTTTCTGTAGGTTACCATGGTCACATCGATTATATTGCTACCTCCCTTCAACACACCTGATCATCTGTGAGCCGGAACACATGTTTCTGTAGGTTACCATGGTCACACGATTATTATATTACCTCCCCTTCAACAACACCTGATCATCTGTGAGCCGGAACACATGTTTCTGTAGGTTACCATGGTCACCACGATTATATTGCTACCTCCCTTCAACACACCTGATCATCTGTGAGCCGGAACACATGTTTCTGTAGGTTACCATGGTCACACGATTATATTGCTACCTCCCTTCAAACACACCTGATCATCTGTGAGCCGGAACACATGTTTCTGTAGGTTACCATGGTCACCACCGGTCACACGATTATATTGCTACCTCCCTTCAACACACCTGATCATCTGTGAGCCGGAACACATGTTTCTGTAGGTTACCATGGTCACACGATTATATTGCTACCTCCCTTCAACACACCTGATCATCTGTGAGCCGGAACACATGTTTCTGTAGGTTACCATGGTCACACGATTATATTGCTACCTCCCTTCAACACACCTGATCATCTGTGAGCCGGAACACATGTTTCTGTAGGTTACCATGGTCACACGATTATATTGCTACCTCCCTTCAACACACCTGATCATCTGTGAGCCGGAACACATGTTTCTGTAGGTTACCATGGTCACAACGATTATATTGCTACCTCCCTTCAACACACCTGATCATCTGTGAGCTACCTCTCCCTTCAACACACCCGGAACACATGTTTCTGTAGGTTACCATGGTCACACGATTATATTGCTACCTCCCTTCAACACACCTGATCATCTGTGAGCCGAACACATGTTTCTGTAGGTTACCATGGTCACACGATTATATTGCTACCTCCCTTCAACACACCTGATCATCTGTGAGCCGGAACACATGTTTCTGTAGGTTACCATGGTCACAACGATTATATTGCTACCTCCCTTCAACACACCTGATCATCTGTGAGCCGAACACATGTTTCTGTAGGTTACCATGGTCTGCGATTATATTGCTACCTCCCTTCAACACACCTGGATCATCTGTGAGCCGGAACACATGTTTCTGTAGGTTACCATGGTCACACGATTATATTGCTACCTCCCTTCAACACACCTGATCATCTGTGAGCCGGAACACATGTTTCTGTAGGTTACCATGGTCACACGATTATATTGCTACCTCCCTTCAACACACCTGATCATCTGTGAGCCGGAACACATGTTTCTGTAGGTTACCATGGTCACACGATTATATTGCTACCTCCCTTCAACACACCTGATCATCTGTGAGCCGGAACACATGTTTCTGTAGGTTACCATGGTCACACGATTATATTGCTACCTCCCTTCAACACACCTGATCATCTGTGAGCGGACACACATGTTTCTGTAGGTTACCATGGTCACACGATTATATTGCTACCTCCCTTCAACACACCTGATCATCTGTGAGCGGAACACATGTTTCTGTAGGTTACCATGGTCACACGATTATATTGCTACCTCCCTTCAACACACCTGATCATCTGTGAGCCGGAAACATGTTTCTGTAGGTTACCATGGTCACACGATTATATTGCTACCTCCCTTCAACACACCTGATCATCTGTGAGCCGAACACGTGTTTCTGTAGGTTACCATGGTCACAAGATTATATTGCTACCTCCCTTCAACACACCTGATCATCTGCGAGCCGGAACACATGTTTCTGTAGGTTACCATGGTCACTGCGATTATATTGCTACCTCCCTTCAACACACCTGATCATCTGTGAGCGGAACACATGTTTCTGTAGGTTACCATGGTCACTGCGATTATATTGCTACCTCCCTTCAACACACCTGATCATCTGTGAGCCGGAACACATGTTTCTGTAGGTTACCATGGTCACACGATTATATTGCTACCTCACCCTTCCTTCAACACACCTGATCATCTGTGAGCTGGAGCCGGAACACATGTTTCTGTAGGTTACCATGGTCACACGATTATATTGCTACCTCCCTTCAACACACCTGATCATCTGTGAGCCGGAACACGTGTTTCTGTAGGTTACCATGGTCACACGATTATATTGCTACCTCCCTTCAACACACCTGATCATCTGTGAGCCGGAACACATGTTTCTGTAGGTTACCATGGTCACACGATTATATTGCTACCTCCCTTCAACACACCTGATCATCTGTGAGCCGGAACACATGTTTCTGTAGGTTACCATGGTCACACGATTATATTGCTACCTCCCTTCAACACACCTGATCATCTGTGAGCCGGAACACATGCTTCTGTAGCACCTCCCGGAAGTCATCCTTTGGTACCACTCCAATCCTGGCATAATCAATGTCGGCAAAGTCTCTGTCGAGGTTGTAGTAGTGAGCAGTGACTGCCTCTTGGAGCCTCTCCTGCACTTCGTCCACGGCCATCAGCTGCGTGCCTTGTCGGCCTTTCATAGACTCCTGAAGGATGCCTAACCAACGTTCCTGGTCCTGGTCAACCACAAAGGTCAATGTTCAAACGTCAAGGAACAAAGGTCAAGGCGATAATGTCAAAGGTCAAGTCATGGAAGTCAAAGCGCAAATGTCAAATTACCAAGGTCAAGGCACAAAGGTCAATCCACAAAAGTCAAGGCATGATGGTCAAGGACAAAAGGTCGACATCCCAAGGTCAGGGCACTATGGTCAAGGCAACAGAGACCCAAAAATGTCAAACATAATTGTGTTATACATTACATTCCCAAAAACTGTCCTAGCATCATACCATGGCACCAGTAGGGGTCTCTGCTGGAGCTGTTTATATTTATCATCACTTTTTAAAGAATCATTGCCATCTTTAGAAAATCAAAATGCTAGGTTCAACTTGTATTTTACAGATCCTGTACATACCACCACTGACATGTAACTCGAATGCAATGAAATAACTTCAACCAAGTTACAAATTATTGGAATATACAACTTCATTCTCATGAGAAAGATTTTCAGTCACCACCAAGTTTCCCAGGTGTACCTGCTGCTCTGTGTTGCCGTACTGGCCGAGGAATGTTGTGTAGTCCACCATGTTGTCCACCAACCTCAGCTTGGACTTGAGGTGTTTCCACTGAGGTTCGGACATCTTGAAGCAGAACAGATCCAGAACACGACGGAAGTCTTGCACCGAGATCTTACCCTTGTCATGCTTGTCAAAGGCTGCAAACGCCTGTTGGGAAATGAATAGGTTATAGATGGTCTTAAGATAAGATAATTTCATATCTCTCTGATTGTATGTACATAAAAATAAACAAGAAGGTAGATTTAATACACTTGTAGGTGAGTGCTTTCTGCTCAAACATATCAAATAATGCATTGCTGTGCATGATATGTAACGTTACTGCAAAATATATGAAATATCGATAACAAGAACAAGGGAGATAATGACGAGTCTTCACATTCTGGTATTTTCATGTTGGCAAAAAATGTTAAATGAGTGAGTGAGTGACTAGTTTTATGCCCCCGACTCGGCAATATTCAGCTATATGGCAGAGTCTGGACCAGACAATCCAGTGATCAACAGCATGAGTATCGATCTACACAATTGGGATACAATGACATGTGTCAAACAAGTCAGCGAGTCTGACCATCCGATCCCATTAGTCACCTCCTACAACAAGCATGGGATACTGAAGATCAATTCTAACCTGGCACTTCACTAGTAAATGTCAAACGAACCTGTTTTCTTCTTTATGATCAGCTTATTGTCATAGCAGTAATTTGTACATTGAAATAAGACGCCATTTTTCCTGTAACATTATGTCACAGTGCATGGCAACACTACATTGTATTATCAACAATTCCTTTGAGCTGAAATTGCATGAAATATATAATTATATCTAGTATATGTATATTCTTAATGATGTCGTTTGTATTTCATAATTAGGACATGCACTGCTAACAAATATATAACAGTGAAATCTTATCATAAGGAAGTAGGTAAATGAATAACAGGTAAATTCGCTCTTCTAATCAGGGAGAAAATAATATTTACAAAATGCAAAATCTTGCATCATAGTGTTTCCACCTTGGCATTTATCTGTACATACCCTTCCTATAGCATCTGCTTGTGTCCTCATCTTGTTGTGTAGCTTGGTCTCTGCATCAACCGGATGCAGACCGTGATGCTCCTCGATACTGACATCTTGCTGCGGACCTTCTCGGTCACCATAAGACGACTTGCGGCCATCTTGGAATGCCTTGAGGAACATGCTGTAGTCCAATCGGCTTCTGTCAGAGTGCAGCCCAAGCCTGTAACAATTAAAGGTCAAAATTATCTACGATGGATCTTTGCACTGCAGGCAGAATGGTTAGTTTGCCTTCATGACTTGGAAGATTTTACATTTGGAAATGAAATTGTTTACAGTAGGGTTTCTACTATTAAACCATGTACATTGTTACAAAATATCCACTACAAACAGCAAATTACATCTCTGAAGTCTGGCTGGGTGAAGGATGTTACTCTCATCTGACTTACATGTCACATGGGAAAAATACATTGAGTCTGAATGGTAGAGGTCAACTTTATCAGCCAAGAGGGAATTTTGTGACTTTTTAGGCTAGCCATGACCACCACCACCCACTCACTCCCCCCGACATGACTTACGTATAACCATGGCAAGTAACCATGGCAACTAACAAAGAAATAGGGTGTGTAGTAAACATAAATACAAAATTTATCACTTTACAATGTGGCACTCAGTTCCATTAAAAAGGCAATTCATTAAGTCAGTTCGAACACAAACATAGCTTGCTGGGGATCTATTTTCACCAAGAATAGCCGCTAGTTGAAGACCATTGAGGTGATCTTCATCCAAACAAAGTTATGGACAAGTGAAAATGGCCTTCACCTTTATAAAAAAACAAACATTCATTGACAAACCTGGAATCCCCATGAGGTCAGTTATTGAGAAAACATGGCAGACATATAATTCAGTTATGTCGTAGTCCTACCTGTCCAGCAGACTGTCAAACTCGTCATCACTGATGAAGAAGTTGAGGTCAACCAGCACCTTCTGTATCTCTGTTGGTGACAGCCAACCCCTCTTCTTGGTGTCGTACTTTCGGAACGCAGAGTAGAAGTCGATGTAGTGGTCTCTTATCCGATCCCTACACAGACACATAGCCACAGGCTTATAGTTTGTCTACAGCGGTTTTGTCAGTTAGTCCGTATCAAGAGATACCAACTTCAAATGACTGAATGTCCAAGCAAACAAATGAACAAATGAAAAATAAATAAAATAATTGTTTCGATGAAAATACATCACTGACTGCAATGCATGACAAAATTCTAAAAATCTGCATATTGTCACAAACTGAACCATTTGACTATTAACTGGTTTTCTAAGATACATCGGTGAAAGATCAGGTGCCAACAGTACTTTATCAGACGATAAAATTAACGCTTTTTGCATTACGTCACAATGTATTAACGCCACTGCGCCATTCTAGTCTGCCCCCTCGTAATCGAACATACTCTTGGTAAATGACGACATGATTCATGTCAGGTGTCATCGCCTCGTACAGCCTTCTACAGTAAACTACTCCGTAGCACACCGTTTTGGGGTTTGCAGTTGCTTCACTCGGCTCCCATCACTGGTGGAAACATCACGTTTACATTTTTCGATGGATATGTCTCACAATTAAACAGACACACAGCAATGTTCACAATGTTTACATTCCAGTAATGCATATGTGGAGTGTCGCTTGACTAGTCCGAGCTTCACTTCCATGTACTGATCTAAACTTACGTCATCAAACTGTTAATCTTTGTTTTTCTGGTAACATAAGCCTTAACGTAGGGGAGCAGATGCGTCAATAGAACAGTGCGTCAGTTAGCCCTGAACGATGATTGTTAATTTAGGTCATGACACCATTTTTCTGTTTGTTTTCTGCCTAAGATTTATCGCCAATAAGTATTAAATTTGGCATCTTAGAAAAGAAATAAAGTTCGCTCTACCACCATATTACAGTGTAATAAAGCACACTTTCTCCCTGAACTATTATAGAGTTCTAGAGCGTGCTTTAACTATCAGAGTTCAGGGCGAAAGTGTGCTTTATTACACTGTACATGGTGGTAGAGCGACCTGTATTTCCTAAGTTTATCTGACAATGCCAGTATTGAGGTTAATAACTAGACCAAATTACTCTCAATGTTTGTTTTGTTCCAAATTTGTAACATATGTCACTTGACCAAGTTGATAAACTTTAGTTCAATACATCAAGAAAATTCTGCAAAAGTCATAAAATCTTTGCATCAGTGGACATCAAGAAAAGGTTTCAAACACTGATGTAGCTAGTCAATTGAACATCATTGAAATTATGAGTGGTGTAAGTAAAGGTTCCAGTAGGAGATTTATGGTTGTTGTGGCATAATACATTTTTGCAAAACAAAGCTTTGAAAGAATCTAAGGGGTAGTATCATATCCTGAAAGTTATATTTTGATATTCACCCTTTTTCAGAAACAACAATCATCTGAAGTTTATTAAGTGTAGGTGACAAAGTTTTTTAGAAAGGAAAGAATTCACCAAGACAAAACAATCACTGTATACTAAGAGTCAGTTAAGTGAACATTTCTGATATCTTGTGGGCATCTAGTTAGTTGGGGAGGGGAGGGGGAAGGAGAGTATGCCATGATTTTGGCATCACTGACCTTTGTCTATTTCACAGTCCCTGAACCAAATTAGTTTCCATTTCACCTTACTACAGAAGCCCTAAATGAAGCAGGTCCAGATTTGTTCAGGTTCTTAATCACCCATCTAACCAGCGCTTCAATTCAAAAAAAGTTATTTGTTTCTGTCAAAATCATATATATCAGAGACGAAACATGAGTCTTGAATGCCCAGTGCCCAGCCATGTAAGTTCTGTATGTACTGACCTCAGCTGTCTCTCGACCCACTCTGCCGTCATGGCGCTGCCGAGACTGGCTTGTTTCTGTGTGATGTCCTCATGCTTCAGCTGCTGGGCTCTGTTGTGTTCCTCCAGGTGGCGCTTGCTCTCATCAATGATTGTCATGCTCAGCCCCTCGTCCATCGGTCCGAACTTCTCCGCTCCCAACTTGTTGAGGAAGTCCTGGTGTGATATGTACCCTTTTCCTTCCTCGTCATACCTACACACAATTACCACAGACTAAACATTTCCTTCCTCGTCATACCTACACACAATTACCACAGACTAAACATTTCCTTCCTCGTCATACCTACACACACAATTACCACAGACTAAACATTTCCTTCCTCGTCATACATACCTACACAATTACCACAGACTAAACATTTCCTTCCTCGTCATACCTACACACAGAATTACCACAGACTAAACATTTCCTTCCTCGTCATACCTACACACACAATTACCACACAGACTAAACATTTCCTTCCTCGTCATACCTACACAGAATTACCAGACTAAACATTTCCTTCCTCGTCATACCTACACACACAATTACCACAGATTAAACATTTCCTTCCTTGTCATACCTACACACACAATTACCACAGACTAAACATTTCCTTCCTCGCCATACCTACACACACACAATTACTTCACAGACTAAAGATATCCTTCCTCTCGGCCATACCTGCACACACAATTACCACAGACTAAATATTTCCTTCCTTGTCATACCTACACAATTACCACAGACTAAACATTTCCTTCCTCGTCATACCTACACACACAATTACCACAGACTAAACATTTCCTTCCTCGTCATACCTACACACACAATTACCACAGACTAAACATTTCCTTCCTCGTCATACCTACACACAATTACCACAGACTAAACATTTCCTTCCTCGTCATACCTACACACAGAATTACCAGACTAAACATTTCCTTCCTCGTCATACCTACACACAGAATTACACAGACTAAACATTTCCTTCCTCGTCATACCTACACACACAATTACCACAGACTAAACATTTCCTTCCTCATCATACCTGCACACACAATTACCACAGACTAAACATAACCTTCCTCGTCATACCTACACACACAATTACCACAGACTAAACATATCCTTCCTCTTCATACCTTACACACACACAATTACCACAGACTAAACATTTCCTTCCTCGTCATACCTACACACACACATTACTACAGACTAAACATTTTCCTTCCTCACATACCTACCTACACACAATTACCACAGACTAAACATTATCCTTCCTCATCATACCTGCACACACAATTACCACAGACTAAACATATCCTTCCTCATCATACCTGCACACACAATTACCACAGACTAAACATTTCCTTCCTCAGTCATACCTACACACACAATTACCACAGACTAAACATTTCCTTCCTCATCATACCTACACACACAATTACCACAGACTAAACATATCCTTCCCTCATCATACCTACACACACAATTACCACAGACTAAACATATCCTTCCCTCATCATACCTGCACACACAATTACCACAGACTAAACATATCCTTCCTCATCATACCTACACACACAATTACCACAGACTAAACATATCCTTCCCTCATCATACCTGCACACACAATTACCACAGACTAAACATATCCTTCCTCACATGCCTACACACAGAATTACAAGACTAAACATTTTCCTTCCTCATGATACCTACACACACCAATTACAAAACAGACTAAACATATCCTTCCTCATCATACCTGCACATACAATTACTAGACTAAACATTTCTTTCCTTGGCCATACCTACACACATACAATTACTAGACTAAAATATATCCTTCCTCATCATAACCTGTACACACAATTACTACTAGACTAAACATTTCCTTCCTCATCATGCCTATACACAGAATTACCATAGACTAAACATATCCTTCCTCATCATACCTACACACACACATTACTACAGACTAAACATTTCCTTCCTCTCACATATCCTCCTACACACACAATTACCACAGACTAAAACATATCCTTCCTCATCCATACCTGCACACAATTACCACAGACTAAACATATATCCTTCCCTCATCATACCTGCACACACACAATTACACAGACTAAACATTCTCCTTCCTCACATACCTACACACACAATTACCACAGACTAAACATTTCCTTCCTCAGCATACCTACACACACAATTACTACAGACTAAAGATATCCTTCCTCATCATACCTGCACACACAATTACCATACAGACTAAACATATCCTTCCTCATCATACCTTGCACACACACAATTACTACACAGACTAAACATATCCTTCCCCTCATCATACCTAGCACACACACAATTACCACAGACTAAACATATCCTTCCCTCTCATCATACCTGCACACACAATTACCATAGACTAAACATATCCTTCCCTCGTCATACCTACACACACAGAATTACCAGACTAAACATTTCTTCCCTCATGATACCTACACACACAATTACCACAGACTAAACATATCCTTCCTCATCATACCCTGCACACACAATTACTAGACTAAACATATCCTTCCTCGGCCATACCTACACACACAATTACTAGACTAAACATTTCCTTCCTCATCATACCTGCACACACAATTACCACAGACTAAAACATATCCTTCCTCATCATACCTGCACACACAATTACTTCATAGACTAAATATTTCCCTTTCTCGTCATACCCTACACACACAATTACCACAGACTAAAACATATCCTTTCCTCATCATACCTGCACACACAATTACCACAGACTAAACATTTTCCTTCCTCAGCCATACCTACACACACAATTACTGTAGAGGGCTAAACTTCTTTTCCTCTTCCTCACATAATACCTACACACACACAATTACTACACAGACTAAATATATCCTTCCCTCATCATACCTACACACAATTACCACAGACTAAACATTTCCCTTCCCTCGTCATACCTACACACACAATTACCACAGAATAAACATTTCTCCTCCCTAAATACCCTACACACACACACTACCACAGACTAAACATTTCCTTCCTCACATACCTACACACACAATTACCACAGACTAAACATTTCCTTTCCTCACATACTCTACACACACACTACCACAGACTAAACATTTCTTTTCACATACCTCCCACACTACCACCACAGACTAAATATTTCCCTCTTCCTCAAGCATATACTCTACACAATTACTACACAGACTAAACATTTCCTTTCTCACATACCTACACACACATTACTACAGACTAAATATTTCCTTCCTCACATACCTACACACACACTGCACAGACTAAACATTTCTTCCTCACTATATTCTACACAACTACTATAGATTAAACATTTCCCCTTCCTCGCCATACCTACACACACAATGACCTCATAGACTAAACACATTTCCTTCCTCGGCCATACTCTACACACACAATTACCACAGACTAAACATTTCCTTCCTCGTCATACCTGCACACACAATTACCACAGACTCAAACATTTCCTTCCTCTCATCATACCTACACACTACTACCACAGACTAAAACATTTCCTTTCCTCGTCATACCCTAGCACAATTACTACAGACTAAACATTTCCCTTCCCTCTATACGCTATACCTACACAATTACCACAGACTAAACATTTCCTTTCCTCACATACCTATATAATTACCACATAGACTAAAGATATCCTTCCTCGGCCATACCTACACACAGAATTACTTCAGACTAAACATATCCTTCCCTCACATACCTACACACAGAATTACTTCTCAGACTAAACATTTCCTTCCCTCATCATACCTACACACACAATTACTACAGACTAAAGATATCCTTCCCCTCATCATACCTGCACACAATTACTACAGACTAAACATAACCTTTCCTTCGCTTATACCTACACACACAATTACTAGACTAAACATTTCCTTTCCTCACATATATTTCCTACACACACAATTGTAATACAGACTAAAAGCATATCCTTCCTCACTATACCTGCACACACACTACCACATAGACTAAAGATATCCTTCCCTCATCATACCTGCACACACAATTACCATAGACTAAACATATCCTTTCCTCGGCACATACCTACACACACACACTACATAGACTAAACATTTCCTTCCTCTGTCATACCTACACACACAATTACCACAGACTAAAATATATCCTTCCTCATCATACTCTGCACACACTACTACTACAGACTAAACATATCCTTCCCTCAAGCCTCATACCTTGCACACACACAATTACCATAGACTAAACATATCCTTCCCTCATCATACCTAGCACACACAATTACCACAGACTAAACATATCCTTCCCTCATCATACTTGCACACAGAATTACCTAGACTAAACATTTCCCTTCCCTCGGCATACCTACACACACAATTACTCACAGACTAAACATATCCTTTTCCTCGTCATACCTGCACACAATTACTTCATATGACTAAAGATATCCTTCAATCATCATAATACCTGCACACACAATTACCACAGACTAAACATATCCTTTCCTCATCATACCCTACACACACAATTACCACAGACTAAACATTTCTTCCCTCATCATACTCTATACACACAATTACCATAGACTAAACATATCCTTTCCCTCATCATACCTGTAATACACAATTACTTCACAGACTAAACATATCCTTTCCTCATCATACCTGCACACACAATTACCACAGACTAAACATATCCTTCCCTCATCATACCTACACACACACAATTACTACAGACTAAACATATCCTTCCTCGTCATACCTACACACAGAATTACCACACAGACTAAACATTTCCTTCCCTCATGATACCTACACACACAATTACCACAGACTAAACATATCCTTCCTCATCATACCTGCACACACAATTACCACAGACTAAACATTTCCTTCCCTCATCATACCTACACACACACTACACAGACTAAACATATCCTTCCCTCATCATACCTACACCACACACAGATTACTACAGACTAAACATTTCCTTCCTCATCATACCTACTACACACAATTACCACAGATCAAACATATCCTTCCCTCATCATACCTGCACACACAATTACCACAGACTAAACATATCCTTCCTCATCATACCTGCACACACAATTACCACAGACTAAACATATCCTTCCT